GGATCATACTACTCGGTTGTGGTCCTCGCTGCACGCAACTGCTCGCAGCTGCTCGGCAACTCATCACGGTGGTCGGACCACTAGTTTGACTGCTCGGCTCTATTCGCACCTGCTCGAACAAGCATAGGGCGGCGTTGCACAATGGGTACAAGGCGTTCGGGGACTAGCTGTGGGGGGTATGACCCTGGATACCCATGGCAGACCACATGGGCTGCATCCCCAGGGCGGCCCAGCCCACAAGACGAGGCCTTGCGGGGCACGACTCTGCTCGGTGCCTCCCGCAAGACATCCAGAACATATCCTGAAGATACTACGAGATCTATTAGGATATGTATGATCCCAAGATTTCTGTAATTAGTTATTACTTTCCGGTTATCTCTCAGATCTAACCAACTTGTAACCCTGCTCCCCGGACTATATAATGCGGGTAGGGACCCCCTCCAAACACACGCAATATCATACGATAGCTAATACAAACCAACAGTCCACAGGAGTAGGGTATTATGTCATACTGATGGACCAAACCTGTCTAACTCGTGTGTCTCTGTTGCCTTCTTATTCTTGATCTCACACTCCTCTACCGATCATTCTACCTTCGTGGGATACCCCTCGGAGGACTACCGACGATATTCTATCGATAATGACTCTCCGACGATCCGAACAACAAACGATCGATTCACCCTCTGCTAGCTTTAGACACTCTAAAGCTACACAGAGCACACGCTCGAATACTTAGCGCACGTAGGAGCTCCCGTCACTCTCGTCCCTTCGGTCCAAAGTCCGACCGGACTTCTTGCACCCCCTATCTTTCTCCATCTCGTTTGTAACCCCACAGCAAACATCGAGCACCTGGGCTTAGGAATAAAGTCATCAACCAACTCAGACTGGACATAGGGCACGTTGCCTGAACTAGTATAAACCCTATGTCATCGACCAACTCAGACTGGACATCCGATCACAACGTACGGCAAAACTACAAATATTTATGTGTTGGTCACTTTCTGCACCGACAGTTGGCGCCGTCCATGGGGAGGACGCCGTACGTTCATGCTTTTGGTCATCGGATGGACCACTTTTCCGCCATCTTCGCCATGGCAAGCTCAAGCGATACGACTCGCATGAGCTCACTAGAGTTTCCCGCACTTCCACCTGTTGGGATGTGGGTTCCACCCATCTTCGAGCCACCCTAGGCCTTCCTCTTTAGAAACCTGGACTTCGTCGCCGACCGGCTCGACGTGCTGCACCTCCACGAGGAGGCACTTGTTCCGACGCCCGTCGAAGGAGGTGTGTCCTCCGTCGGCTCCGGGACTCCCAGCGACTTCAACAATGAGTCACCTACGCTTCGTTCCGAGCCCACGCTGGGCTCAAACCCAACTATGAGTAGCGTACGCTTTGTTCTGTACTCGCTTTTTACTATTTTCCACTGATTCTCTGGAGCGACCCCGTTATCCCTACCATGACCGTCGTACGACTGGTTCCCCTATGGCCTCGCAACCCCCACGGATGCGAACGCACGGGGGCTCCGAAAGATGCTGGCGCCGCTCCCTCTCACATCTGAATTCATGGGGATGGCGAGCTATGCTCCCGCCTCTTTTCACGACCTCATGGATGACGATGTTGAGAGCGACGGCTCCAGCATCGATGACATCGTGGCACCTAGCCACCCTCTGTCCTGGGAGTGCGCTATAGCAGACGCCCTAGAACAGCTATCGGTGGTAGTGGAGTCTCTTCAGACCCACACCCCTCCAGACCCTCACGCGGATGCCCTCACGTGTGCCTAGGAGCACGGCGAGGAGCTACGACAAAGGCGACAAAACCAGCCGCCACCTGCGCCGGCGCGCTCGGTGCAGCACACTACGCCCCGTGCGCGTAACCCGGCGAGTGGCGCCCGAGGTCGCGCTCGCCAGGTTCAGCGCAACATCATCGATGGGGGGAACGATCCCCCACAGTTCGCTCAGGCTGGCCAAAACATTGCCATGGCGGCGATGCTTCTGCGTGGCCTTCCCGAGCCCATCGACCCACAGGAGCAGGCGGTCCACCGGAACCTCCGGTTGCTGGTGGAGACTGCCGCCGTTCAACAGCCGGAAAGCTCCGCGTCACTCCACCGACTCGCGGCCTCTTTCCCTATCGAGGGAACGGGCGCATGCCAGTCCAACCGCTCACCAGTGCGGCCGCTGGGCGCGGAATGGGAGGGCGCAACTGCGCCATGGCCTTACATGGCGCCCGCTCCGCAACCAGCCGCCTGTGCGGGAATGCCTCGGGCCGACACTACACCATGACACACTTTTTCCCACTGTTATGTGTTGGTAAAGGGTTAGTATCGCGCACACCTTATCTGTTGGCAAAAGTCCAATCTTTTAGTGTCAACTCATATGTCGGCAATTATGTAGTAGGACAACAGATTATCTGTCGGCGTTTCTGTGATGACTAATAAACTGTCGGGGAAACTTACTAGGCAGACTAACTGTCGGCGTAGCCTTAGCTTAGCTACTGGTCATGTGTCGGCGAAGGGTGAGCCCTGCCTGTGCCCATCTAGCACATGACGGATAGCAGAAAAAAACAGAAGAGGGGGCCACACGCACCCCTCTTATCTGAATCCTCCCAAGTCGCACCCAAAAAAAAGAAAAGAAAAAGACGCGAATGAGCAACCCAGCCGCCGCCGCTCGTGCGTCCTGGCAGCAACCCCACCGCCGCCGCCATGCGTTCGCAGCTCTAATCCCCGAACGCGCCCACTCATCTCTGGTGCCAAGCCTTGGACGTCACCCGTACAAGCTCAGCGTCGAGCCCCGCTACATTGCTGCCTACCGAGCTCCACACCCAACGCGCCGCCGGATGTCGAACCCGTGGTCCCACCATCCGTCGTCGCCGTCGCCGGTGCACTCCGTCGATGCTCGACGCGGCTCCACCGTCGCCTGCAGTTTCGCATCGACGCAAGCTGTGGCGCATCTTCCCCATAATTTGTAGCTCCGCATCTGCACAGGATCCGTTAGGGTTTGGAGTTTCCATGGCTGGCATGAAATCCTACCGCCGCTACTAGTGCGGAGGGCTCCACTCTGGAGGCTCTCCTCATCCGCTCAAGGCAAGAGGCTCCCCCTACTGCTGAAGGCCGCACTCTCCTTGATTCGGCCCCTTTCATCCGTATCCCTGGATCTGAACAGAGCCCTCATTCCAAAGAGGTATATATGTCATAGAGGATCCTGCTGCTGCCTGCGCTCTCAAAAAAGCTAATAATGCACTTGTAAAATATAACAGAAAAATTAACAACTTGGCTTCACTGTAAGTTTGCTTAGCCTTTGTTTTTCTTGCCCAATGATTTCGGAATTGATTGTTATACTATCAGCATAACCTGAAAATCTAAACAAACTGGGGATTGTATAACCTATATGTTCAAAATATCCATCAGCATGGAAAGGGGCTCTTTCTTTGTTTCTCAAAATGCTGTCCAGACATAGCCTAAGTAGTGTACCATTGTTTCCCTTGATGTTGTTTTTGTCAAGAACATATCTTTTTTTGTGTAGATTGAACTGTTAGATAGGTGGGCTTGGACCTGGATTTATGAGTTTGCAGTGATATATTTTTGTGTATGAAATTGACTGCTAACTACTTATTGTTGCCACTAGCTCTCTCACAACTGCACAAAGTCCAAGTGGAGATGTACATAGAGTTTTCCTGTGAATTATATAACTACCAACTAACATGTCCTTACTGTATCTTACTGCCACTAGAATCTATGAGCAACACTACTGATGAAAGCTCTGAACTTGGACTAGTGCAGTTGTACTGAAAATTACAAGCTAGCGTCGTTGTACTGAAAATTACTGAATTAGTTTTTTATTAGGTGAGGAGGGAGACGCTCAGGTAGAGAATCATAGCTCTACAGCATCTGCCTTCTCCATTCAGAAAGGTAATGGTATTGGATTGAGCTCACATGTACAACTGTTTTATTCATCTCTGTGGTGATTTAAATTGGATCTATCTATCTACAGAGCTGGTATCTGCGATTACAATTATGTTTCTGTTTGGTAAATTCATACGTCCATGATGTGAGTTATGCCCAATTTCAGTGCATAGGATCACCATATAGTGGTTCAGATTTCACTTGGCAGTAAGGGATGACAATAGGAGGTTTAGCTTTGTTTTGTTTCCTTCTCCCATATGTCCAACATGTGTATCTGCTTATTTGGTCGGTTTAAAGGTAACTTTGATATCCATTCCTGAATGTGAGTTTCATGATGCGAGCATGATCTCCTTTTTTATGCTTGATGTATATTGCAGTTTTAAGTTTTTTGATGCCGGATGGGAACCGAGTGTGGGTGGTCGTTGTTGTGGCTATCATTGAGTAAAGATGTCAAATGAAAAACATATGAGCAGCTGCGTAAGGGTATGTTTACTGAATTCATAAGGAGCGTAATAAGACAAATATGAGGTGTCTGCTGCTTCTATCTCTTGTTTACTTCATTTTGCATTAGGAACCAATTAAGGCTTACATAGAATACCTTATATATTTTAATGAACGTATTGCTTGGCTGATTCTAAGTTTAGAGTTGCTAATGATACATGCGAATACCGACAAGTCGCCAAGAGCCTTAGAGGTGCGAGGGGCGATGAATTGTTTAGATAATAATGCAAGTCCATGTGGGGTTTTTAGAATATCTGGATTCTCCTTTCACTTTGATGGGCAATATATCTAACACCGCAAATATGTTAATTTAAATTTCAAATTCAGTTGTTGCAACATTCTAATATAATGTTGCATATGCATCGACGCATCATGTTGTCTCGAGAAATACATAATGTGACCAAGCAGTGTAACAAACTCAGTGAACACACATTTGTGCGTAACTTGAGGGCTGCACCAACCTATCGTGATGAAGAAGTACTTGAAGAAGAAGAAGAACAAGATGCTAGATCATATGCAGGGGATGATATGGCTGATATGCACTTACATGATGATGATGACTTTCTGAGTAGACGAGTGGTCCTTCGAGGGGAGCAACATAATGAGGTAATTTCCTTGTCCTCGTCCTCACTGCCTATGTGTTCTTGCTACTCCTCTAAGTTGAATCGGGCCATATTGCATTGGTATTAGTATTTTTACCTTACTAAAATCTCATAGAAGAATTACCTGGTTCAATTTCAGACATAGAGGTTATATGTCAATGGCAAGCATGATCTTTTCATTGCCACAGAGAGAAATTTCCAAATAGGTACAGGAAAGTACAAATGCCTGACATGTTATGAACTCCTAGACTTTAGGAAAATAATAGCAGCTGAACCCTCGGCGAAATTAGTGCAGCAAGAATAAAACCACTGCTACTGCATCACTTTTGTGCTCTCAGAATGTTCTCTCTGCAATCTCTGTCCAGCTGTGTACTTAGATACATTTGAGAATATGCTTTTAAAACAATTAAGCATTCTTGGTACTCGATTAAATGACCCTCCTAGATACGGTAGCATATTTAAGGTACAAAGTGTCTTATTCCATCCTCCCGTTATTTAAATGTTCTATAGAGATTGATCTGCTAGAATGACATCGATTTCAAATAAAATAGAGTATGCATAGGTGTTTGATCACTTCTGTAATGAAATTTGTCTAATTATGCAATCAATTTTGATTATCTCCCAAGGTTTCCTAACATTTTTTTCTGTTTATTCAGTGGATTCCATCTATCGTTGCATTTATCTCTGTTACCGTAAGCTTCTTCATAAAGGAATCGATGTCATACCTTCCCATCATATTATTTGGCATCTACATGAGCTGGATTTACCTGCGTTACTTCCAAAGGAGATTAGAAGTAGGCCTTAAGGGGGACCCAAGTGATGAATTCTCATTTTCAAGCTTCTTCCCTGGATTTTTAAGCTACTATTTTTCACAAGTGATCTTGGTGTAAAGCAGTGGGAAATGCAATGCAATAATTCTGCGAAGCGAAGAACATTTTAGAGGACCCTTTGCTCAGCGATGTGTGAATCCCTAATTTAAGATGTTAGAAGAAAATTTTGGATTACCATTGCAATTAAACATAACATCTAACTCTACCTTCTAAAGCATATATGAAGAGAAAGAGTTAGGAAATGGCTGTAGAGATATCAGATATAGGTGCTCATCCAACCTTTTTTTTGATGCTAGAGGTGGCTCCTGGTCCCTAGTAATAACGCAGAACTCTAATGCTAACCAACCAACCATATCATTTTATGGATTCCTAGCTCTAAGGTTCTGCAGAAGAATTGTCCTTCGATTTTTTTTCTGAAAGTTACGATTGCTAAACACTTTACAAATAGTACAAGACTTAACAAATCTAGAAATAAATAGACCTAAACTTTGTTTTTTATTTCATAAACTTATTGAAATATTGCAGGCCAATTTTGGACCCTATTGCTTCCATATTCCACAAACTCTTCTGTGGGCGATCTGCAAGACCTGAAGGCACAGGCCAGACATTGGATGGGTCACAGTTCCCTAGTTCGGGGTCCATTGAGGCAAACAGGAGGAGGTGCGAATTCCTTTTTTTTCTCATCGTTTTAGGCATCCATCACTGAAACCATTTGCTTAGTAGAGCACATGCTCTTGGTTTCCTACCCGTTGAGCACCATCATGAAATGATTGCTACCCATTGATCAGTCTTGATGTTCTTATCTCGGCCATCTCATTTGATTTGATTATTGTCCATTCCCTGCAGAGAAAGGGGTCAGAGGGCACTGGAGCAGAGACTGGCGGAGAAGCTAGCCGCGGTCAGGAATGCGGAGGGCACGCCTCCACCGAAGCAGCAGCAGAAGCAGCGGGAGGACACGGAGGATGATGCTTCTGATAAAGTCTGAACCCTTGTGTCAGGATAGTTGGACAAGAGATCTTATGTCAAATTTTCCTTGTATTTTTGCGGGTGCCGTATGGAAGATCTAATATATTATTTATACACAAATCAAGTGAATTTGTTCAATGTGATGCCTTCTATATGAGCAAAGGTGGATTTGTCAAATTATTTTAATTGTAATTATATCTATGCAGTTTTGCCGACAGTTTTTTTTGGGCAGGGTATGGTTTGTAAAATACCTTGGAAATGGTTTGGCCAACATACAAACTATCGGGAAAGGTTTTAACTATCGGTGTAGGTCTTAACTGTCGGCAAAGGGTTAACTGTCGGCAAAGGTTTCAACTGTCGGCGTATGTAGACCGTTTGCCTACACATAAAGTGTCGGGGATTCTGTTAACTGTCGACAAAAGTTTCGCCGACGGCTTCTAGCGCGACTGTTTCTAAACTGTCGGGAAAACTTTTCGCGGGATGTTATCTGTCGTCAAAGGTGCCATTTGTCTACAATAGAAAGTGTCGGCAAAAGTATGTTGTGTTATAGTGCGAACCGAGACGCTCGCAGCGTCATCAGCAACCGGTGTCGGGCCTAGCATGATGATGACGTCCATCGGGCGGCGGTGAGAGCAGGCGACATGGGCTCCGGCCGGACCATCGACGGGACCAGTGAAACGCACCCCAGGCGCAATCGTCGACCGGACGACCGGAGTCCTAGCCCGGACGGCCTGGGACCACAGGCCTTCGGCTGTCACATCCAGAGAGCACCGTTCCCACAGCGCTTCCGACCACCTACCAACATCACCAAGTATACCAGGGAGACGAGCCCCGGTATATGGCTCGAAGACTTCCGGCTCGCCTGCCGAGCCGGAGGAGTGGATGATGACCACTTCATCATTCAGTACCTCCCCATCTGTGTGGGGGAACATGTTCGAGCATGGCTCAAATTCCTCCAGCATGACAGCATCCGCGACTAGGCGGACCTCAAGAGGATCTTCATCGGGAACTTCCAGGGGATGTATGTCCGCTCGGGGAACTCCTGGGACCTCAAGAGCTGCCAACAGGAGCCCAATGAGTCCCTACAAGATTACATCCACAGGTTCTCGAAGTGGTGCAACTCCCTTCCTAATGTCGTCGACGCGGACGTCATCAGCGTGTTCCTCTCTGGGACAACCTGCGAGTCCCTGATCCATAAACTTGGCTGTCTGAAGCCCCGTACCACCCGTGACCTGCTCGACGTCGCCACGAACCAAGCCTCCGGCGAGGAGGCAGTCGGAGTAGTCTTCAACGGAGGCTGGGACAAGGGTAAGGCCAAGCGCGAGGACCAAGACGAGGACCCCTCCATGCAGAGGGGCAAGAAGAACAAGAAGGATCGGTGCCGACAGGCCAACTCCACGTTGGTCGCCGTAGCTGATCGCGCAGGCAAGCAGCCCCAGCAGGGCCTGCCAGACCACTTCAACAAGCTCATGGATAGCCATGCACCAACCATGCTTACCCCGTTAAGCACCTCTACAAGGACTGCGAGCTCCTCAAGCGCTTCCTACGACAGGCCGGCGGGCCGAAAGAAGGAAAGGGCAAGGAGGGGGCAACCAAAAAAGGAGGCACAACGTTCAAGGATGGGGACAGCTTCCCCGACCCTGAGGAATGCATCATAATCTTCGGGGGATCCGATGCCATCTACTCCAAGTGCCAGCACAAAGTGCGCTACAGAGAGGCATGTGTCGCCGAGACGGCCATCCCCTCCTTCCTTCGCTGGTCGAAATCTCCGTTCACCTTGGACCAGAGGGAACATCCCTCCCACGTCGTCTGACCAGGGCGCTACCCGCTCGTCGTCGACTCCATCGTCCTCAAAGAGGCGCCTCACCAAGGTGCTGATGGACGGAGGCAGCGGCCTCAACATCCTCTACATCGACACCCTCGACGCCATACGCATGCTCCGGTCGGAGCTCCGACCGGCGAGCTCTGCCTTCCACGGCGTGATCCCAGGAGCGCAGGCCTACCCGCTTGGACAGATCGACCTGCCCGTCACGTTTGACGACCGAGTCAACTTCCGCTCGAAGGTGCTTACCTTCGAGGTGGACTTCCCGAGGTCTTACCACGCCATCTTGGGAATTCGCAAGTGCAAGCTGGAGGCAATGGCCCCGTTCGGCTTGCTGAAACTTGGCTAAATTGTCTGAAAAATATTGTTCTGGCTGAATTGTTGTGAGAGAAAAACACTGTTTCGACTGAAAAAAATAAGCTGAATAGTATGGATTATAAGGTAAGTCTAACGGGACCAATATAAAGGAGAAGTTAAGAATAATACCAAAACATTCTCACTGCCACACATGCCGTCGATTAATGAGAGCAAGTACCTAAACGATCCAAGTGCCACAGCTTCCACTGTCAGGCTGTGTTTAGTTTCTAAAAAGTTTCCCAAAAAATGCTACAGTAGCCATTATATCGAATCTTGCGATACATGCATGGAACATTAAATGTAGACGAAAAAAAACTAATTGCACAGTTTGGTGAGAAATTACGAGACGAACGTTTTGAGCCTAATTAGTCCATGATTGAACACTAATTATCAAATAAAACCAAAAATATTACGGTAGTCAAATTCCTAAAATTCACGGAAAACACAGCCTCACTGCAGTCCATCGTTGTACCCTGCAAAACAGCAAGACCACCGTACGTCACCTAACTGGATTGATGCGGACAGGAAAAGATTTCAGTCTCATCGGGGAACAAAGAGATCAGTCCAAGCACCGTGGATCTAGACACTGACCATAGGATCTAGCCAGCCACCAGACGGGCCCGTCACCTTCGTCGCTTCCAGCCGCGACTTCCCTAGGGCTTCGAGCGCGACAGTCGGGAGGATGACGGGAGTTGCTCTTGGGAGTCGCGGCACCGAGCTCGAGGAGAACTGGAGAAGGGTCGAACGCCCCATTGCATGGACACGGTCTCCAACGAGGATACCCAAATCCAAAATAGGTAGTAAGAGATCTAAAATTAGCCTCCAACAGAGTATCTATACGGGGGACCTATTTTGGGTTGTTTGAGAGGCACAACCTAAATATGAGTATCATCTCTCCTGAAAACCCATTTGCAGAAATGATTCTCTTTTGGGTCTTGTTGTTGGAGAAGATGCCAAATAGGTATTGAACATTTTGCCTGCAGCGTTATCCAAAGAACGAATGTGTCTTGTATTTGGGGTGTTGTTGTTGAAGATAGCCTTAGGCGTGATGGTGGTGGGAGGAGAGAGGAAAAGTCGATGTTGGGGTTAGGGCGGCGGTGTGAGAGAGAAGTCGATGTTGGGGTTAGGGAGAGCGATTAGCTAGGGTTAAGGAGTGGGGGGCAGTTTTTTTTGAGAGGGTAGGCTAACCGCGCGGGGCGTGGGTACTTTCGGGCTCCAGGAGAGCACGGGGGACTTCAAAACTTTTTTTAGACCTGGCGGGAGTATAGCCGCTCGAAATTTGCTATATAGACAGCTAATTTCTCATGACACTAATTTAAATTTCTCTCTAAATTTCTAAAACTGAATTTTTTATTTTCTTTAAAAACAAAATGTGTCATACATTTGTAATTGGAAAGTCAAATAACCACAAATTTATAACGCTGTCACTGCTATAGAAAGAATTTGTAGCAACGTTTCCTTTTTTTAGGCCCTACGAATAGGCACTGAATTATAAAAATTAAGTATTAAAATATGACATTTTCAAACTACCTTAGATGGAGAAATGATCGAAATAAAAGTTGTAGATCTCGAAAAGTTATAGAACTTTGTTATCTACAGTCATTTCATTTGAAATCATTTACTGCTTCAAAAATATTGTTTGAAATTTAATTTTTAAATTGTTGAAGAACTCTGATTTCTCTTTTTAATCTCAGGCTAAAACTTATAACTATTCTTTCTCTCTCATACTAACTTCAAATTTGATGATTTTTTGCTAAAATTTTCTAAAATTCTACTCTATCAATTTATTATGTTCTTATAGCTATTATTTGAGCCATCTTTTCACGTGACTTTGTTTTTTCAATTCAAAATTTGAATTTCGAAAGTGGCAACTCCGAACAATATTTTGAAGCAGTAAATCATTTCAGCTAAAAAACTCATGAACATAAAAGTTGTAGAACTGATCAAGATCTACAACTTTTATTTTGGTCATTTCTTCATCCGATAAAGTGATAGTAACAACAACAACAAAGCCTTTAAGTCCCAAATAAGTTGGGGTAGGCTAGAGTCAAAACCCAGCAGAAGCAATCAAGGTTCAGACACGTGAATAGCTATTTTCCAAGCACTCCTATCTAAGGCTAAGTCTTTGAATATATTCCATCCTTTTAAGTCTCCTTTTATTGCCTCTACCCAAGTCAACTTCGATCTTCCTCTGCCTCTCTTCACGTTACTATACTGGCTTAGAATTCCACTACGCACCGGTGCCTCTGAAGGTCTCTGTTGGACATGTCCAAACCATTTCAACCGGTGTTGGATAAGTTTTTCTTCAATTGGTGCTACCCCTAATCTATCACGTATATCATCGTTCTGAACTCGATCCCTTCTTGTATGACCGCAAATCCAACGTAACATACGTATTTTCGCGGCACATATCTATTGAACATGTCGTCTTTTCGTAGGCCAACATTCTGTACCATACAACATAGCAGGTCTAATCGTCGTCCTATAAAACTTGCCTTTTAGCTTCTGTGGTACCCTTTTGTCACATAGGACACTAGATGCTTGGCACCACTTCATCCACCCTGTTTTGATTCTATGGCTAACATCTTCATCAATATCCCCGTCTTTATGTAGCATTGATCCTAAATATCGAAATGTATCCTTCCTAGGCACTACTTGACCTTCCAAACTAATATCTTCCTCCTTCCGAGTAGTAGTGCCGAAGTCATATCTCATATACTCAGTTTTAGTTCTACTGAGTCTAAAACCTTTGGACTTCAAAGTCTCCCGCCATAACTCCAGTTTCTGATTCACTCTTGTCCGGCTTTCATCAACATCGTCCGTGAAAAGCATACACCAAG